GCGGGAGGAGTTCCGGCGGTCCATCGCAGAGGTGATCGCGGCGAAGCGGATGGCCGAGCCCGCGGAGCTGCGGGTGCTGCTCAACTGCTACGTCTCGGTGAACGCGCGCGAGCACCGCGCCGCCATCCTCCAGGCCTTCCACGAGGTTTGCTCGGCCCTCTTCTCTTGCAAGCAGCTGGGTTGAACTTGAACGAGCAAGTAGGTCGAAGTGCGTGGCTTTGTGATTTGGCTCCCATGCATGCGTGTAAATGTGTAATTAACCAGCCATCTATCCTAAAGCACCAAACGGGGAAGCATGCGTGACTGTATTATTGTAGAGTGTAATAAAGTGTGTTCCTTTCCCCTGTGCTTTGTTCAAAGAATGTTGGTGCAATAGTGAGCACATTGCACAAAGATGATCTGTATGTTTTCTGTAATTTGCTGTGTACATATTGGGCTGTTTTCATCTCAATCGTTCGCTTGGTACTTGATTACAATGTAGTTAAGATGTTCATGCTCCTTCCGTCTAAAATACAGAACATTATGACTTTTAAAATACATAAATATAAGATATTCTATGTTGTGTTGTACTTAGATTTAGCAAAGTTTATTGAAAGTGAAGCTATAATCTGACGAGAAACTTTTTAGTTGGGGTTCAATCCATGAGTAAAAGTGTTATTTGAGTATTTTTTTAAGTTGTCTTATTTTTTAAATATATTATATTACAAAACAGAGGAAGTAGAAAGAATAGGCTCTACATCATCTTTTTTTTCTTCTTCCTCATAAATGAAATATAGAAATAACCCGCGCGCACAACGTTCATACAGATCCTACAATCATGTCAGTCCCGTTATTGTATAGTTGAGCATGCATGTACGGTATCATTTAGTACAATTTAAAAATGAGAATTCCAACTAAATTAGCTAACACACCTAGGGTCCAGGGATACAAGTGGGACTGTCTAAGGCTATCCGCACCGCCGCGACCGCTAAACGGCCCGGCACCGCGCGCCTGTAAACCGGCATGCAGCGTCCCGGCGGCACAGTGCACCTCGAAGCCCAGCGCGCGCAACCCACACGTTAAACACTGTAGCGCAGAGAGAGAGAAAGGGGGAGAGAGGGGAATAAAATATGGAATAGTGGGTATAAAGTATGGGATAGAGATAGCACGGGTGCGGAAGAAATAGGTATAAAGTAGAGAATCTCGATGACTAGGATAGAATATTCTTTTTTAGAGATGGAAATAGAGGTGAACGAGTGCGGATAGCCTAAGGACCCACAAATATGCTAGTATGCTACCACCTCCGGTCCATTTTATTTGGCGCACACGCATATCAAGATTTAAACTTTAAAAACTAGTAATTAGGCTAATAGTTTTTAACTATTATAATACAAATTTTATATGATTAGATTTGTAAGGAATTATACTATCCAATGATTATAAATTTATAAGCATAAATAATATAATATAAAAGCAAATGAATGGTCAAAGTATAATTTAGGAGACCACGTCATTCTAACTTGCGCCAGATAAAATAGACCGAAGAGAGTATTTTTGGGGTTTGCATAATCCGCCAAAAAATATCCTATTTGCATGCATGCAAACTCTAGTTTTTTAGGATATGCAACCTCTAGTAGGTAGCACACGGACCATGCTCATGGTTTTTTAGACCAAAGAAGAATTATATTAGATTATAGCTGAGTACATCGTTACAAGCATTCTGGAATACACTACATAAATCTAGAAAATGGTCTTTATCTATATTGTGCACACGCTTTGTGTAGCTCCAAATCTAAAATCCAAACCTGTATGATGCTTTGTATGAATAACCGCATAGACAAACACTCGACAAAAGGCCTAAGAACAGATGAATGACAATCAACATTCGTGTAGGCGGAGTTAAGAAACTTCTTTCTTGTGTCTTCTTTCTTCTTCTTTCTGCCATCGAAGAATAAAGAAGACTGATTTGAAACTTATTCCCCTAGTCCTTCATCGTGGTCAGATATAACCACAACGAAATGGAGAAGAGGCCGAGAGAAAGTTATTCCATGGCGGTGACATCATCTTCGCCTTGATGTCGCTGTTTGGAAAACTAAGTCTCCATGTTGTCATGCCGAGGAAGTTGCCGACGCCATAGTTGTCGCCCTAATCTTCAACAGAGCTGCCATGGAGAAAATGAATCCATCCTGCCTCCTCGCCATCACCGGGAAGGAGGTGGAGGAGATAAATCCCCAATACCATAAATTTTTGTATGGAGAGACCCTAACCCTAAAGGACTCGATCTACTAGAAAACTTATTAAAAGCGATGGAACCCCACTCCCTCCGGCCTCCGACGAGATGCCGGAGGGGGAAGGGAGGGGACCACCGGACCAGTGTTGGTGGAGAGATGGGGCGGCGGCGGCGACTGCTCTCGCTAGGTCACGGGATAGGACTTGGTCAATGTGGGTGGACCATGCTCATGGATTGTAGTTGAATGAGAGACCATAATGTTGTTCTTGCCTTAAGGGCATATGTCCCATATACATTCAATGGTGAATACACATGAGGTATATCGTCTTTAAAGGTAAATTCGTGTTCGATGAGACACTTCCTAACTAAATCTTCCACTCCCTCTTTTTTTATGTGTTTGTATTTGTTTTGTTGTAAGTGGAAACATTTGTATCTTTGATCATCAATTTCTTAAGAAATATGTAGGTTCATGACATAAGATTTATGTTTTTAGGTTTACTATAAGAAATACTTTCTTAATATATAATCCTTATGTTGTGAAACTATAAAGATTTTTTTGAAATGGATGATCTAATATAGTAATGTTTAACTTTGGACAAAGTTAATGTGACATGTAAGAACGAAAGGAGTACAAAATATTACTCCTCCGCCCTGAAATATAACATATATAAGCAATTTTTAGATAAAATAAAAAACCTAACAAAAGACCACTTGCCCCTCACTAATTAGGATTGTGGGAGTAGTTCAATTGTTATCTCCTTATTTACTGGTTGTCTGTTTTGGTTGAGACCAAGTTTAAGCACCTAAAATACCTCATATTTTGGTACAAAATTTGAACTCCGAATCCCTTATATTTCAGGATAGATGTGTTTATTTTTGTGAGTTACTCCATGCACTTATGCAGGTTTAGTTTCCTTTCCAAGGACAGCTTTGGCATGGCAAAAACTCAGACACTTTATGCAAACAATCATTTCGAGTTAATTAGTTTACGAGAGGAAATGAAAAGAAGTTTTTTAATAGAATACAAAAATAAGGAAAGAGCTCACAAGAGTTTGGCACGTATCATTTCCATGATATTTATTTGTGTTTATAGGATCTGATCGTAAAGGAATGAAGGACCATATGGATAAACTAATCTGTTCGTCATTGCGATCGACATGCTTTATTCCTTGCTTTTGTACCGGTAGACGCTAGTTGCTGTGCTACGGGCAGTTGCTGCGCGCTCAAGATTGTCGGCCTCGTGAAGCTATCCAAGCAAGGGGTGTGCTTTGCGGCCATCATACAGTAATTAATCCCACAGCTGCGCTGTCATTCACCCCACCTTCGGTTCAAGCTCATTAATAACTCAAGTAAACACTGCTTTCCCCGCACGCAAGTCGAGGATGAGCAGTTGAGCACTAGTACTAGATTGCACGCAATACTCAATTTGGACGGGCGAGGTGGATGTCGTTATCTTCTGCCTGGCCCGAATCGTCGGCCCGTCTGTGTAGATGGGCCGGGATTATTCCCTCAAATTTCCAATTTCCAATAGGTAATGCTGGCGAGCGGACGTCCGTATGTCCGGTCACTCTGTTTGTGGGGCACGACGTTGCCCAACTGCCATCCTTTTATTTACTCGGGAGTTTCTCGTAAAAAATCCTCTCGTCCGGTTGCACGTACCTATCCGCTCGTCCACTCACTCTTATCCGCTCCAGGGGCCATGGTCACCGCGAGAACCAGGCGTGAGGCACCCGCAGCGTCCTCCACCGCCTAGGCATGGAGCTGCGCGGCCTGCCGCCTCTGAGGCGCAGTGCTCGGCCACTGGCCCTACCGAGCGCGGTGCGCGGCCGTGCTCAGAGTCGCGACGCTCGGCCACCGGCCCGGCCAGCGCGCCGTGCGGCTACCCCTCCTAGTCGTGCCACCGCTGTCTCCCCGCCGCCGCCGGGCCGTTGCCTCAAGTGAACTCCAACACGCCGATGAGCCTCCATTCTCCCAAGCAGCAAGGAGATTTTGCGTTCAAAGCGCATGTTGTAAGCGTATATTTTAAGTGTTTCGGTTGTTTCGTAGGTATGTTGCAATTGTTTCATACGGATGTTGCAAAAAGTAGACCGGGATGATGCAATGGTTGTACACATATGTTGTAAAAGTCTGTTTCTAATGTTTCATCTGTTTCTCAGACATATGTTGCAAGTGTGTTTATCTGGATGTTGCATATATTTCATACATATGTAATATGTTGTATATGTTTCATCTGGATGTTGTGTATGTTTGCAAAGTTTTTCAATTATTTTTAGGTGTTTTTGCAAGTATTCATACTCATGTTTCAAGTGTTTCGTCTGTCTTGTTTTGTATATTGCAAGTGTTGTATTTGTATATTTAAAAAATTGATCGGGTGTTATGTATGGGATGCGCAGAGGAAGCGGGGAGGGGGCACGAGCTGTCCCCGTGCGGGCGACGTCTAGACGGTGCGGGCCCTATGTGGGCGTGCAAAACGCAGACGTGAGCAGACGATGTCAGGGTAGCGCGAGCCCCACGTGGACGCAGGAAACAGGGGCAAAAAACAGATTGCAGCCGTGTGCATCCGTCCGAATGTCCGGGCCTTAACATTGCCCCACGTGGACGCACGAAATGGGGGCACTGCAGCTGTGGACGTCCGTCCAAATGTCAGGGCACTAACAGTGCCGAATTTCCAATCCATCCGAGTTTTTACATATGTTTTAGCTTTGTATCACGGGGTGCCTTTTGTCGATACAACTGTTTATTCAGCATTCCATACCACTACGCGGAAAGTTCTAGTCGTCGATCGGCCGCTCTAGCAGACGCCCTTGGTCTTCCCGCCGGCGAGAGACACGCTGCGGTGCACCGGCACGACGGCCTCCCTCTTGACGACCTTGGCGGACGCCTCCTCGCCAGAGCCCCTGGCGGGAGGTCCCAGCTCGATGGTGACCCGCATCCTGGGCACGGGCCCGCCCTTGGCCGCGTCGTCGAGCGCCTCCAGCGCCATCCGCACGTGGGACAGGAACCGCTCGGCCAGCGGCCGACCGAAGTCCTCCCCGACCACGACGCGGAGCACGGCCATGTGCTCCAGGTTCGCCGGCATCGTGTACGCGGGGACGATCCACCCGAACCGGCGCAGCTCCGACGACAGCTTGAACGCCAGCGAGGTCTCCTCCTTGCTCTTGAACGTGAAGGCCACCAGCGGCACGCCCTGCTCCTTGGAGATGATGGTGAAGCGGCCCATGCGCTCCAGCCCCTCCCGCAGCGTCTGAGCGCTCTCCAGTCTCCATGCAGTTCTCCATCACGTTGCGGTACCCCTGCAGTAACAGAGTAGCTCATTTTTTCCCGGGAATCGATTCGTAAAACCATGGTGCAAAGCATGAAAGTGGTGCGTACCTCGAAGCCTAATCGAAGAAGCTGGTAATATTGCGCGATGATTTGACTAGACCCTGCGCAGAGAGTTAACATATTATCGTGTTAGTGACAGGGCAGTGGCAGACTGGCAGGCATGAGCATGATCTCCATGGCCGTGCCTTTGGAGAAGTTGAGCGTGAAGGTTGGCTGGTCGGTGCCGAGGTAGTTGATGTGGAAGATGAGGTCCTCGGCAGGTCCTCCTTGTTGCGCCAGATCACCCAGCCGATGCCGGCGTAGACGAGGCCGTACTTGTGGCCGCTGACGTTGATGCTCTTCACCAGCGGCAGCCGGAAGTCCCACTCCAGGTCCGGGTACAGGAACGGCGCGATGAAACCGCCGCTCGCCGCGTCCACGTGGATCGGGGTGTCCCACCTGCGTGCCAGCATGCATCACATCACGCAGCCAGATCAGTCCACGGTTGCTCACTTGCTCTGACTCCTCTGAGGAGGAATTTATGACATGCGTCGCATGCGAAGCTACTGACCCTGTCCGCTTGTTGTTGGCGGCGAGGAGGTCGTTGAGGCGCTTGACGTCCTCGAACTCGCCGGTGAGCGTGGAGCCGAGGATGGCGGCGACGCAGATGGTGTTCTCATCGACCATCCGCACGGCCTCGTCGGGGTCCATGACGTAGCAGCCTTCCCGCAGCTTCACCTCCTTGAGCTGCACCTCGAAGTAGCGCGCGAACTTCTCCCAGCACACCTGCACGTTGGCGCCCGTCACGATGTTGGGCCTGTCGCAGGGCTTCCCCGCCGCCTCCCGCCGGTTCTGCCACCGCCGCTTGAAGGCCAGCCCCGCGAGCATGATCGCCTCCGAGGACCCCACCGTGCCCACCCCGACGGCCTTCTCGCTCGCGCCCACCGGCGCGTGGAACAGCCGCGCGATGATGTTCACGCACCGGTTCTGCAGCTCCGTGGTGACTGGGTACTCGTCCATGTCGGCGTAGTTCTTGCTGATGCCCTCCAGGATGAGCTTGTCGCACTCGGGCTCCATCCACGTGGTGACGAACGACGCCAGGTTCAGCCGCGGGTTCCCGTCCAGCAGCAGCTCGTCGTGGATGATCTGGTACGCCGCGTCCTTGGCGATGGACTTCTCCCCCAGCTCATACCTTGGAAGCGGGTCCTGCACGTATCTCGAGGCGAATACGACGGCGGCTGCGTCGTCGAGGTCGTGAACGTGTGTCAGAACCATGTCTCAGCCAGCACGTTCCTTCCTTGCTCTTCTTATTTTTCTCCTTGCAAGAGGAACAGGAGATATTGCTCTTCTGTTCTCTTCGTGCTACGGTCTACGAACAAGACTATATAGACTGCAAGAGGTCGGAAAGCTTGCGCGTGTTTTGTGCGTTGCTTGCCCATGTCCTATGCTATTGCTGCGGGGCGACTCTGCTTCGCTTCCACGTCTTGCCCTCGCTTGCTTGCCTGCTGCTGTTTTACTTGCTGGCCTCACTTGCTTCCGGGAGCTGCTTAATTGTTCGAATGGTATTGCGCCAGATCCCCGAGAGAATCTACATATGCCCGGTGCATCATGCATAAGATGGCTTTCCACCTGGCTTTCGCTTTCTAGGAAATCATAAAAGATGACTTGATCGCACTGAAACTTTACTTCTCCATGGTTTAACCATCCGGTGGACTACCATGATGTTACCAAAAAGCAGAGATGCAAAATAAAGAGAACAAGGAAATGGGAGCAATGGCATAACGATCAGAAACAACATGCATGATTTAGTAATAGGAGGTACTGGTTGGTTTCTCTCAGAAGAACTTTGGAGTTAGAGTTTTTTTTTTAGAAAAAAATATTATTGAACAGTTAGGTGAGCCTCCCAATTTATAGGGACAGAGTTAGACCAAATTTGAAGGGGGTGCGTTTGTCTTATGGTTGCACAAAATTTTGCTATATAGGTGCATGTATAATGAAAATGTGATAATAATTGTTGTTTCTCAATTTTGGTGTGGGTGTGCCTGCACCCCCTAGTCTCTATACAACTATATTAAGAAAAAAAACCCATATATACTACAAATAAGGCCTAAGCATACACCCACAAATACTTAGCACCCCCTAGAGAAAAAATAAAGATGATAACTAGGAAATTAGAGAAGCAACCAAATGAGTCAAAATAACAAGACGAAGGTGAGCTCATGATTAGAGACATTCCAATTCAGTGGCATCGATAGAGCACCAAAGATCAACATCTTCTCTAATTCGTTGGATAAGAAGTGGGACACTAGGGCTCCTACACACTCATTGCGATGATGAACTATATATGCTGCCAGCATGACAACGAATGGAAACCCCTGCTGTGCCATTGGGCTCAATCAAGAGTGATGCATTAGACCACACAGTTTGAAACAATAGACGGTGTCGACCCACCAACACTGACCGCAATAGGCCAACAAATCGAAGTATCTATAACATCCAAATTTGTTTGTCAAAGACACAGTATATCAAAAATAAGTGTAATGATTTCCTCCACCTTATCATATAGAGGACATTTGTGGGATGAGGGTGAGGCAGGCATTGTTGCGTAAGGCGATAAGCAATCCAACAATGTTATGGCAGGCCATACAAATGAAATACTTCACTCTAGGAGGCACCCAAGATTTCCAAAGTCTTTATTACTTAGGCTTGAACTTGGTGCTGCCCTCAAAGGAAGCCATGTAAGCTAATCTAGAAGAGAAAGTACCTAATATAGCACCAATACAAATGTGTCTGTCCTCAACATCGGTAGGGGTGTTTTAGTTGGTTTATTCAATTGTCACAGTTTGTATTTGCGATGCACATTGCTAGGGCCATAACTTGCTATAAGTGGTTATAGCAGTCCAACCAAATGAAACACTATACTATAGGAGGCGCCAAGGTTTAAATCTTTGCTAATATACTTGAACTTGGTGCTACCCTAAAAAAAAGCCCCGTAGGTTGATCTAGAAGATAAGGTACATGCATCAGTAGTACAAATGTTTCTGTCGTCAACAAGTCAACGTCTAGGTAGTGCTGTTCTAGTCGGTTTATTCCGTCATGAAACCGTCTCGATTTTCACGAAGGAAAATCCACATATTCGAAGTATAACATGATAGTCCTAGGTGATCATCCCATTACATTATCAAATAACAGTCGATATCACAGTCATACATCGAATACATGTCTTAAAGAGAGTACAAATAGCAAGGTTTACTCATTATTGCATCGCCACTTAGCGGAATCACTCAGAACATGCAACAACTGGAACAACATCAAGTAGAACGACAGCGGGCGTCGACTCCATCTTCGCGAACCAAACTTGAGCGCAGGAACAAGACCTCTAATCCTCCCAACCATCTCCCTGGTAGTCGTACTCATACTCAAAACCTGCCAAACAATTATCAGTACGATTTGTACCGGCCACTGGCTCCCACCCTATGCTTTGTGTTTGCTTTGTGGTAGTGGAATGCAAGGGTAGAGCAAAAGACCTATTTATGGCTGTAGTTTTCCCTATGCGAGTATGCCAAGTTTTAACCATCTCATTCACACGTTCTTCCATCCCATCACACACATCTCACCACTCTCACACTCACTAGGCGACAAGGACGACTCCCTCTCGTGCCTTGCCTCATCGTCCAAAGTCAGAATCCAACACATGAACCTAGGGGGGAGAGAAGAAAGAACTCCACTCACTAATCAAGGGAAGCATAGGTCATAGGAATGTCCATATTCATGAACACAGCTATACGTATAGATCGATCAACTCTGCAGAGCGTGTACACCTGGAACCACAAGATCACCATCATTGGCGGTGCCCTGCCTAGGCTGATACCGACTGTCTCCCAACCGGTATGGTGCCACCCTACCACTCAGCCCTGGGCCACCCCGGAGTCCACCGAAACGCTGAGACTGTGAGACGTAGTACCGGGCCCCCAAAGGTCACTACGCTATCTTAGGAGAAAGTGGGCCACACATCCGTACCTCCCTACACTATCCACTTCCAACCTTACAGTAGTGGCACCATCCTAGTTGGTCGGGTAACCGTTCCCCACCCATTCATGAGCGAGTGGTGTGTACGTAGAGTCCTATGATCCATTTCTCTCCACATACCAGTCCTTAGGGGGACCGGGTAGGATATCTTCTCAAAGGGGATAACCAACACCCCGTGCCTCGGTGGCACCTCCATCTCGGCGATTCATCCCACAAAGACACTCCACCCTAGAATCTTCTCCTCTCACATGCACCCGCCACAGGTACCTCTCGTAGGGGATGCCCAGGTCGCATCCCCTAGGCAAGATTCGTCCATCGACTTGTCGTAAGATCCTGCCCAATTGACTCAACCCTCACCACACACCCAAGACGCACACCAAGATCTCCCCAGTTGTTACCACATTATCGGCACCAAGTGTCTTAACCACTAACAAACAATCCTTCACCAAGCATCACATCACAGATATAATGCGTAGTAGAAGCAGTAGCAAATAAGTAAGCGAACGTCTAGTCTAACAGCGGGTGTGCAGGGGTATAGGTTGCGACAAGGTAATGGCTTACAAGCAATTCTACCATGCAACCTATCATAGATCATTTGCATAAAAGTAAAGCACTAGCATCTACATTATAGCATATCTAATAGGATTCTACGAGGTTGGGTGGGATGTGGCACCTGGTAGGTCGTCTCCAAGCTCCTTAGTGTAGTCGGGGTCGTGCTCCTCAGTCTGCGGCTCCTCCGGGTCTGTCAAACGAGACATATAGCCGCGACAAGTGACTCCTATAGATGATCACAAAGAAGCAAAGGAAATTCAAAAGATATAAATGCACTCAAACAAAAGCCTATGACGTAGAGCTCATTTTTAGAAAAATTTAGACTCTGGTTTCATATTTTGCTTAAGTCGTATGAATTTCCTAAGTTTAAATCATATTTTGAAAAAGAAAAAAATTGGAAAAACAAGTGGCTGACACGTGGCAGGCGGTGACTGGGTGAGGCAGTTGAGTCATTGACAGGTGGGTCAGTCAACGGTCAGCGTTGATCGGTCAACGATCAACGTTGATTGGGCTCGAACTAGGCCTAGCGGGCCGGATTGGGCCGGTCTGGGCCCGGACACATGTCACTCATCCAGGCCAGCCACGTGGCGCTAGCGGGCTGCTAATGGGCTCACGCCCACGAGCACGGCTCACGGTGGACTATGCTATGCGGCTCCATGAACCGTAGGCACGGTCCATGGTGGACCGAGTCCACCCTTTCTCCCTCCTTCCTTCAGTCTACGGCGCACCGGGTGCACCGAGCAGTGGGGCGCGACTCTCTCCTTCTCCCTCCTCTCCCACGATGGCGCTCTCATCAGTGGAGAGCTCGCCCGCTCTCGTGCTGTGGTGGCCCGGCGAAGCTGCTAGGGAACTCCATGGCATCGCTGGGTCATGGGGAGCTCTCCACAGGACTAAAGGCGGCGGCTTGGGGTTCCAGGTGGCCGGTAATGGCGTCATGGGGGCTCGTGGCGGCACGGGGCTAGCGGCGAAGATGCTCGGGACCTCAGCGAGGCTCCAGCAGGGGTCCTTCTGCTTCCTGGTGCTCCAATGAGCATGGCTAGGGCATTAGGTGAAGCTCTAAGGGCTCCGGTGAGGCTGGCCACGGCAGCAGTGACGGCGGCAGGCTACGGCGAGGCGGCCACGGCCTTAGTTGGAGCCAAAGGTGGCTCCTTTCCTTCAATTGGGGTGACAGGTGAGCCAAACGACTCGACGACGGTGACCAAAAAGCACGGCGGAGTCCGCACCGTGGCAAGGCGCGTGGCTAAGCTCCGATGAGCTCGCGTCTATGGCGAACTAGGGCAAAGCGAGGGCTTTGCGCTCAACCATCTACACGGCGAGGTGCACAGGGTCAAGGCGAAGCTCGACGGCTAGGTCACATCTCACGAGGCGGCCGGAGTCGGTCGGGAAGGCCACAGCACGACGGCGGCATGAGCGTGCAGCCGCACCGGCGTCGCAAGGCGACCAGTGCCTCTAGGGCATCCTAAGCTAGCGCAACTAGGCTATGCGCGTCCCACGGCGAGGCGAAGCTCGTCGCGGCGGTGGCTTAACCGCTACCATCCCGGATCCACCGGAACAGAGCCTCACCGTGGCGGAGTATGGCCGCGGCGAGCGCGTGTGCGTTCGGTGCGTCGACGCAGGTGTTCTCGAGCCAAGGTGGCTCGGCATCTCTGCGTTGTGGCCATTGTGTGTGTGCGTGGACGCGTGGCATGGAGTGA